AGTATTTCTTGCAATGATTGGTGTGGCACCATTCTCATTGCTATATCACATTTTGCAGAAAAGTTATGGAGCATAATCGCACATTATATATAATTTTGAATTATTTTGAAGCAATTTTGACCTGAACCTGTATCTTGGAAACTGGAGCCAATTAATACTTAATTTTCCTTTTATTAGTGAGCCAATTCTGGTAAAATGTAGCTACTTTCCTTTCCGAGGCTTTCTCCTTGTAGACCAGTATGATTTTTGGGTAGAAGGAGGCAGGTATAATTATGGCAGGTGGCTTTACAGCAAAGTCACTCTACAATTTACTGAACTGCAGGAAGATTATTGTGCCCGGAATTGGGCTATGGAGATATTGACCTTTCAGTGTTTGGGTTTTGGAAAGTTGAACCACCAATGGTTTATTTTATGGGAAGGCATAGAAGTTGTGATTAGGGTGACTTGGAGCTTACACAGGGCTTCCTTGCCTCATTAGCAATGGCTAAATGGAATGTCGATGGAGCAAAAGCAAGATATGAGTGGGCTTCAGGGGAAGGCCGGTGTTAAAGTGAACCTGTGGCTTTGCCATGCACTTATAGTGTCTGACAGGAAGTGACCCTGTCACCAGACCATTCCTTTCAACAAAAATCTTCCTATAGGATTATATGTGCATTTGTAATATTCTAAGCATGCTCTTTACCTGTAAAAGACCCTCTTGTTTAGACCATAAAAGGCCTGAGACTTCTACTGAGTGCTGCCATCTTGGATGTGATGTCAGCAGCTTCATCAGACTCAGAGCTGTCACTCAAGTGACACTCTATAGCAGTGGTTCTCAACCTGTGTAACTCACATTTGTGCTCAGTCATTAAGTCATGACCCAAGTCGCACTGCAATGGAACGCACGGCAGTGTGGGCTGCTGTGCTGTGATGGAGCTCCATCCATATGTGCATTGCTTGTGCAGCTCTCATGTGCGCCTGTAGAGGTGGCGGGAGCCAGAATGTGATATCACTCCAGTCCAGGCACCTCTACAGGACATGCGCGGAAGCTGTAATCAATGCACGTGGGGAGGGAGCTCCTTCACGGCCATACCCCCAGCCTACCCCACCTCAAGTCAACATTCGGCGCTGGGCAGCATATTTTGAATGGCTGCTCGATGTAAGAATGGACAGTGCTGCGCTAGGGGGGGCTTGGGGTAGGCTGAGGAGCCTCTCAACTAGAAAAGTGGAAGGCATGCGGAGACCCTCTGAACATGGGGTCGTGACCCACCAGTAGTTTTCCCCTTCTCTCCTCTCCCGACAGCCTCATTAAAGGGAGATGAGAGAAGAAGCAGGACAGAAGAGCTGGGCCAGCACAAACCATAATTGGACCCTACCAGAAGAAGGGAGGGTTATAATGTGCAAGGAAGGAGGGGGCTGTGATTGGAAATTGACTCTTCCTAGAGTAGTCACATTTTTTAGCAAGTTCAAAGGCACATTGCAAGAGAATAAAACATAATTAATAGAAAAGAAAAAGCATCTAAAAAATAGATTTTTCTGTACTTTTACCTGCATTTTTTTTAAGTTGGTGACAGGGCCACTTTAGAAAGGAATCCGAAGATGGAAATGTATATGCCGCACAACATTGTCTTCTCTTGCACTGCCTCATAGCGTTCATATTCCAGCTGTTAAGCACTCGTTGACCCTTCTTCTCAGCTGCTGCCCTCCTATAATTTATACAGCTGAAATATCTCCTTTTCCTCCATTTAGTTCCAGTTAATTTAGACTCAAACAAAAATATAGATCTAAAAATACGCAGAAAATGTCAAGTGGTCTGTGATGTCACTCTCCGTGCTTGGAGACCAAAAACACAACCTCACTTTTTTTCCGGGACATATTTGCTGTTGTTTCCTTTTCTGTTAGATTTCATCTCCTTTAGGGATGTTCAGATACCAAGTACCATACTCGGTACAAGTACAGATACTTTTCCAGCTCCAAGACTAGACTGAAGAAAAACCCAAAAGTTAGGAGGCAGCTGTCATTTTTAAGGAGGATTGGGATTTGTGCATCTCTGTTTTAATGTATGATTTGTTTTATATACAGTATATATATTAGTGATGCACCAATACCATTTTTCCAGACCAAGTATTTTGTCTAAGTCCTCACAGATACAAGTACTGATACATTTTTATATTGTCATGTGACAGTTTTTCTAAAACAATACAGACTAATGATTTCAGGACAGTGGTGGAGCGTCAGAGCACGGTCCCAGCTGCAACCGCGGTAGTTCTCCTGAAAATGCCAAGTATCGGCACTGGTATCTGAACATCCCTAATCTCCTTCACTCCCCCTATAGGGCCAAAGTTACATGTTCGTTAGCAGGTTATGGTGTGCTTTAATGCCCATTGCAATGAGGCCGTTCTGTGATTTTAAATGGGCAGAGATTTGACTAAACAGAGGTTTAACCTTTTATTCTCAATGCAGTGCAGACAGTTGACTTTTATCAACGAGGGAAGGCAAAAATATAAACAGAATACACGTCAGCTTTAATCTGAGTCCTATGTAATCCACTGCAGTCAGATATGACATATAGTTGTGTGAAAACAAAAAAGCACACCCTCTTTGAAATCTATGGTTTTATGTATCAAGACTTAATACAAATCATCTGGTCCTTAGCAGGTCTTAAGGTGCCCATACACCTTACAATTATCTGCAGATTTTCTGTCGTCAGATGGAAAAAGTGCAACAGATTGGCCCAGGTGGAGATTACTTCATCCACAGAGTTAGGGTGCCCACACACCTTACGATAATCGTACGATAATCGCACGACTTTTAACTTACGAACATGTTTGAAAACCCGCCGAGCATCGTACGATGTTCTGCGGGTGTGTAGCATGTTTGTAAGATAAAAGGCGGGCGGGCCGGTGTGTGCAAGCGCACACTGCCCGTTCGGCATTGTGGTCATCGGAAGCCCGCCCCTCAGGGGGCGTGGCTTGCAATCATCGCAAGTACGATCTGCCTATGCAACATAGGCAGATCGTACGTTTTTTTAAGTACCTTACAACCATCGCAAGACAAAAGTCTTGCGATGGTTGTAAGGTGTGTGCCCAGCCTTAAGTGTAGATGGAGGAATCTGTTGCACCTTTTCCATCTGACCACAGAAAATCTGTAGATAATTGTAAGGTGTATGGCCAGCTTTAGAATGAGGTAGATGGAACATCAGATGAACATCAACAAATGGGTTGGGTTTTTTGCAAGTTCTCTGAGTATTGCACGGTCTGACCGTGGGATGGATTTTCTAGGACGTCTACTCCTGGGAAGATCGGTAACTGTCTGGAATGTTTTCCACTTGTGAATAATTTTCCTCACTGTAGAATGATGGACTTTAAAGTGGTTGGAAATGGCCTTATAACCCTTCTCAGACTGATGGAGAGCATCAATTACTTCCCTAAGTTCATTGCTAAAGTTTTGCCTCCTTGGCATTGTGTTAACACACACCTGAACGCTCCAGACCAGAAAACGGCTAGAACTTCGGCTTTTATAGAGGTGGCCACATCAATGAATCAATCTTTGCCTCTTAATTCATATGGAAGCAGGAAGGGTGTACTTAGTTTTTCACACATAACTTCTCCATTTTGGCTTTATGGTTGTAAAATACTGTATATAATGACGCAGTGTAATCTGTCATGGGATGTTGTTCACCTGAGGTTGTATTTACCTAATTCTAAGACCTGCTGTAAGGTAACCAGGTCTACTGCGCATGTGCGTGGTCCCGTTTTTCGTACCATACGAAAACGGGCACTTGCGTGCATGCGTGCACGTTGGGACATACGCGCTCAGACGCGCTAATCTGACACACAGGAAGTGATGCAGTACCTCTGAATTGAGCACCCTTTTAAAAGCAAGCACAGCCTGGGCTTAGTTGCTGGATGGTCTTTCTGCTTGCCCCTGTGATCTTGTTTGTTCTGCCAGATTTCTGCTCCTGTATCTTGACCCGGATTGAACCTGACTGCTCCTGATTGCTGCCTGCATTCTGACCTTGGAATTGTTACTGGACTTTGCCTCTGCCTCATCCCTTGTACTTCGCTACCTGACTGGTTTGACCCCTTGGCTTGTTTGTCCTTGATTCTGCCTACTGCTCTGGTACCCTGCTGTCCGCCCGGTGTGACCTTGGCTCTGCTATACCTGATCCTGATTCTGGACGTCCGCCTGGCACGGAGTTGCCTCATCCACTGGCACTCATGGTACTTGCTGGATCCCAGGCTCTGTTCCCATCCTCAGAGTTTGGGAGACACAAGGTGCATCGGGAGCCTCCTCATCCAACCAGTATGCAGCCAGCTGCGTGATACTTGTTAAACACCAGAATATCTGCTGTACAGTCTCTTCTCTTTTTTTGATTTATTGGTTACCAATTGGATTTATACCCGTTAGATTGACATTTCCAAGCAAGCTTCATTCTCATTGGTGGCTGTGAGGAACCTTTTAGTACTAACTTTGAAAAATAAGGCTTTCTATATGTGAAAGATCCCTACAGTGGGTGCGTTTGGGAATTCATCTCCTGCAGTACAAGCAGGTAAATATGAGGTGTTCCCACATTAGGATCATCAGTCAATGAGGTGCACTACAGCAATGTCTGGATGAAACATTAAAGCGCCGAGCGGATTACATGATCTGTGTAGACGACTTATGTTCATTACAGGTATTTATATAGCGCCAGCACTTTACATTCATAGCAGTCCCTGCTGTGAAGGAGCTTACAATCTAAGGTCCCTATCACACCCACATACGTGGCCATTTTAGACAGGAGCCAATTAACCTTCCATTATGTCTTTGGAGTGTGGGAGGAAACCCACCAAGCACACGAAGAACATGTAAACTCCATGCAGATAGTGTCCTGGCCGGGATTCGAACCGATGACTGCCACAAGTCAGAAGTGCTAACCACTAAATCACTTTGTTTTCTTTGTAACTCGCATGTGTAGATATGGTGCTGATGTGGCAATGAGATCACGAGTTTGATGAATATTTTCTTCCTCTTTGCAGTGTCCTGACTGGCTACAATGGCACCGTATTTGCCTATGGACAGACTGGCAGCGGCAAGACGTTCACGATTACTGGAGGAGCCGAACGTTACAGTGACAGAGGAATCATCCCCAGGACCTTGTCCTATGTCTTTGAGCAGTTCCAGAAGGTAAAACAGCTTAGTTGTAATATCCAACAAGAAAAAACAAAAGGAGCGCTACTACCTGGAGGTTGCTTTTAAAATGGTTCCATGAAAATCTTTGGTGGTATGTGTAAAGAGAAAGGTGAATGACTCACTGTTGGATGGAGGCAATGATGATCCTCTGATGGAAATGCAATGGTTGTCCCGTCAGTGGAAGAATTCTGTATTCCCTGTGGAATGGTGGCTGGAACGAAGGATGTGGATGAAACCTGGTGGATCCTGAAGCATTTGGCAGGAACTTACCGTATTTTTCGCTCCATAAGACGCACTTTTTCCCCCCCAAAAGGCGGGCAAAAATGTCTGTGCGTCTTATGGAGCGAACGTGTGAGAGCTGAGGTGGCGGGGCTGACAGTGTACCCAAGGGTGTGGAATTCCTATCGCCCGACGCCCGGGACATGCAGTTTCGGGCGCCGGGCGAGTAGTTTTTTTGTACATTTAGTCCTGCGGAGCTAAATTTATAGTGTGGAGCCGCCGCTCGTTTTCATACAAGTGATCTGATTAGATCACTTGTATGAAAGGAGCCGCGGCGATCCTGTCTGCCCCCTCCCTGCCGCAATTTTCGGGGTCCCCCGCTCCTCTGGGGGACCCGTGATCACGGCATAGGAGCTCACCATAGAGTCCGTAGAGCAGACGAAGAACGTCTGATCTTCGTCTGCTCTGTTTGATCACTGAGACCGTGGCGCTGTAATCACAGCGCCACCTGTCTCAGCTGTCAGGAACTACACAGAACCCTTCCCTCCTAGGTGCGTCTTATGGAGCGAAAAATACGGTATGTTAGCAGCTGTCACTTTTGTTACATAGTTTCCCAGATGTGATTCATGATTAATGGGCTCAGCTGGCCAGGCTGAGCAGCGAGGGCTGTATTGAGAGAGTTTGTGCTGCCAGGCTCTTCAAAGTGTTATGCCGCTGCTGTATGACGAGTTAGTGTCAGTGATGGAGTCCAAGTCCAAGCAGGGGTGCAGAGCTATGCTTCTCACAGGATGGGGTGATGGTGTCTGGGCTACGCGTTTCGAGGCTATGCCTCTTTGTCATGCCGGGATGGAGGAATATGCAGAAGCTTCATCATTAAAGGAGAACTATGGGGTAAGTGTTTTTCCCCATAGTTCTCCTAAGGATCACGGGAGAACACAAACTAGCGTCCTCCCGTGACACAAAGCTCAGTATACAGCAAGCTACAGCTCGTGGTACACTGAGACGCCGCAGCCGGGAAACGGATCCCGACATTGCTGTCGAGATCCACCCAGCTGCGTGATTGACAGCTGGCTCTGCCTATCCAGGGGGGAATCCCTGCAGGGAGCCGTGGCTGACAGTCACAGCTCTCTGCAGGGACATGATGTAGAAGTGAGCGAGCGACGGTATGCGTTCGCTCACTTCCCGATCTACTGAGCCGACCTGTCACAGTTTCATTGTCACAGGTTGGCTCAGATTATGAGGCTGAGTCAAAATCACTCACCTCATAATTCTCCTTTAATCACATCTGGGAAACTACGTATCAAAAGTGACAGCTGCTAACAAGTTCCTTCCCAATGCTTCAGGATCCAGCAGCTTTCATCCATATCCTTCGTTCCAGCCACCAATCCACAGGGAATACAGAATTCTGCCACTGATGGGACAACCATTCTATTTGTAGTCTGGAGGGCCCCGGAGTTTGCTGACCCTGTCTTGCTGCATAAAGAGATTTTCCAGTGTTTCCAGTAGCCACCAATGTTGTGTCCTCATTTATATCTGCTTTCTCTACTCAGGACAGCAGTAAAGTGTACACCATCCACATCTCCTACCTGGAGATCTACAACGAGTGTGGATATGATCTGCTCGATCCCAGACACGAAGCCTCCAAGCTAGAGGACCTCCCGTAAGTCACCACAAACAATCTACTTCATGGCTATTAAATTTGTTTTTACCCAAATCTTGTAACAGCTGACAAATGATGCCACCTGCAGTGTTATTATTACTATATACACTGAGTGGCCAGATTATTATGACCACCCCATCAGTACTTCGTTGGGCCACGAGATGACTCCACGAGATTACTTCATTGGGCCGCCTCGTGACTCCACGAGATGTTGAAAGGTGATGCGAGGAATCTGACACTGCACTGTTGCCCTTCTGTTGTCTTGTACCAGTCTTGCCCCTCCCCCGTTCTGCCCTAACATTGACTAGTCGCTGACGGCCACAATTTGCACGTTCAGACCCAGATTTTCGGCTGACAGTCCGGTCTTTAAACACTTTAACAATGAGCATGTAACGAATTCTGCTGTTTTGCCGATACTCGCTCCATGGCTCCGAGCGGCAACAATCATCCCGCGTTCAAAGGCTGTTAAATCGCGTTGTTTCCCCGTATCTTCAGAACAAATCACTTCTACTGTCGTGGTAAACAACCTGCTTCCCTATTTATAATGGTCTGGCCCTCTAGCAACTTCAGCGCCAAATTATAGCTAATTTGCTTACAAACGTCAGGTGGTCATAATAAACTGACCACTCAGTGTATGTAACCCAATCACTATAAGCTTTATCATGTGAATGTCATTTTAAAAGCTGTTTTTCTCTTCCGTTCATTGAAGGACACAGGGAACAGATCTAGGATCATGTACTGTAGGGTTATATTGCCACCTGCAGGAGAAGGATTCTAGGCACCAAACTAAAGACAATTTACAGCCTAGGGGTGGCCCCTGCCGGTGGCAAAACCCCACACCTGCTGATAAGTCTCCAGTTTTTTGCCTAGCATCAGGAGTAATGGAATTGGATTCCTTGTTTGTGGTTGCGGATGGCCCTCGGAAGGGTCGGGCCGCATCGTCGGCCACCATTTCTCATTGGATTTGCAACAGGATTTCTCAGGCGTATGCCCTTGAGGGGCGTGAGCCTCCCTTTTCTGTTAAGGATAATTCCACAAGGGCTGTTGGGGCATTCTGGGGTTTTCGTCACGGTGCCTCGATTTCTCAAGTTTGTAAGGCCGCTACTTGGTCTTCTGTTCACACCTTTGCCAAGTTGGATGTTTTGGCATCCGCGGATGCTGGTTTGGGGCGCAAAGTGTTGCAGGCGGCCGTTTGATGGTGTAGTTTTCTGTTTGGGTTTTTGTGTTTTTCTGCCCACCCCTCTTCTTCTGGTACTGCTCTGTGACGTCCCTACAGTACATGATCCTAGACCTGTTCCCTGTGTCCTTCAATGAACGGAAGAGAAAATAGGATTTTTGTACTCACCGTAAAATCCTTTTCTCTCCGTTCATTGAAGGACACAGGTCCCGCCCCTCTGTTGGGTGTGTACTCCTAAATGCTTGTTACTTACTGGAGACTTATTAGCAGGTGGGGGGTTTGGCCACCGGCAGGGGCCGCCCCTAGGCTGTAAATTGTCTTTAGTTTGGTGCTTAGCGTCCTTCTCCTGCAGGTGGCGATATAACCCTACAGTACATGATCCTTGATCTGTTCCCTGTGTCTTTCAATGAACGGAGAGATCAGGATTTTACGGTGAGTACAAAAATCCTATTTTTGCAGCTTTCATTAAAATAATCCCTGGTAGTCATGCCATGAAGGTACTTCCGGTTACAAGGTGACAATACCTGTCTCCCAGTTGCTGTGCTTTGTTGTCACTAGGGATGAGTTCAGTCTCCTTTTGTGCCGCCCAATCAACAGCAGGAGGGGAAATCCCTGCCCACAGCTCGACGTAAGCAAAGGGGCGGGATGCAGTGACATCATTGAACTTTTATGGCTACATGCCTATATTTCATAAATGATATTTACCTAATATTGCCCATATAAGGTAATTGATATCAGCACAGGCATCCCGCCCCTTTGTTTACATGCAGCTGTGGGCCGGGGAATGCTTGGCCTGCAGCTGATTGGGTGGATGTGTCCATGACATGAGATGCTCAGGCTCAGACCGGATTCAATGACATGTGCAGCTGAGGACAGAGGTTGGCTGAAAGAGATATATATAATTATTCCTTTTATTGGGTTTCTGACATAACCAAAATATAAATATGTGTGCTGTGTGCAATGATTGTGATGACAGCCGTACCTTGATTGGATAGTGTGGTGCTGAAACTGCCATGATTGGGCGGCGTGGTGCAAAGAATGTCATGATTGGACTGTGTGGTTCAGACAGTGCCATAATTGGACAGTGTGGTGTAGTTAGTGCCATGATTGGACGGTGTGTGGTGCAGACAGTCCCATGATTGGACGGTGTGGTGCAAAGAGTGCCATGATTGGACGATATAGTGCAGACAGTGTCATGATTGGATGGTGTGTGGTGCAGATAGTGCCATGGTTGGACGGTGTGTGGTGCAGACAGTGTCATGATTGGATGGTGTGTGGTTCAGACAGTGCCATGGTTGGACGGTGTGTGGTGCAGACAGTGTCATGAGTGGATGGTGTGTGGTTCAGACAGTGCTATGATTGGAGGGTGTGTGGTGCAGACAGTGCCATGATTGGACGGTGTGGTGCAGACAGTGCCATGATTGGACGGTGTGGTTCAGACAGTGCCATGATTTGGAAGGTGTGGTGCAGACAGTACCATGATTTGGAAGGTGTGGTGCAGACAGTACCATGATTGGACAGTGTGTGGTGCAGACAGTGCCATGATTGGACAGTGTGTGGTGCAGACAGTGCCATGATTGGACGGTGTG